TTGAAAAGCGAACCTCGACAGGTGCACGCTATAAGCTGCATCGTCTGTCTAAGGAGGGTGGGTACCCTGCCTCTCTTGGGGAGACCCGTGCCCGTGTTGTGTGAACAACTCTGCACGAGCACCTAAGGAGGCTTACCTCCTTACTAGCTTGTGGTGGCGCGTACGTATCTCTACTGAGATGTACGAAGGGATTGACAACCTGAAATCCCTTTACGACCGTGCCGGGAAGACTTTCTCCGGCGGTCCTTCTGCGGCACAGGATGTGCCGCGTCGTACTTCTCAACCAAACCCAGTACGTCAACTATCAGTTGGGAGCGGGGCTCCCAAGTATCCCAGGACGGGGGATAGCCGCGCCACCGGACGAGATAACTCGTCCGACGTCCGTTCACGTCGCGGTGGTTCAACAGCTGCTCAACTAGATAGCGCTGGCCACCGCGAGAGTCCTCTAATGGAGGTGGAGGAGGAGGAAATACGCTCTCCACACGATCGTGGGGATCCGTGTGTTCCCATGAGCTTCTTTGATCGCGTAACGCAAGGGTCACGCGGCGATCTCGAACATGAGCGGGACAGGCGTCTCCAACTGGCGGACACTGCCTCGAAGCATCGAGCTGAGTTTTCCTTTGCTCAGCTTGAGAACGAGATAGCTCTGACATCTCTGCGTGACGAGCTAAGGGTAGCTCGTGGGATTGTTAATCGGTCTCGGGATGAGATAAATGCTCTCCAGACCCTTGTCGATGCCCATCATCGGGAGCACAAGGCTCTCTGCGAGATGCTTGAGCGCAAGGGCGTTCTTCACCGGAAGAAACAGCGTACTGATGGTACGGCTTAAGCCGACCAACGTAAAACGTGGGATGCGTTCGCATCTTACGTGGCAACTCGATCGTGTATGCATTGCCTAGGCGGTGCAGTACACGAAATGGGCCGATGTACTTGGGTAGTAGTTTACTGCTACCCAAGTTAGCCACTACATGCTTTGGTAGATTAACCGTAGACAGTTGGACTTAGTCAAGTTTATTAAATAAAAGAGTGTTTGCCCTTCCATTCTTGTCAGAGTTTTGCTTTTGCTTATCCACCGCTTCGGTGATGGAATCTTGCACAAAACGGACTACCGTTTTACGGGCCAGTATGAATTCATCTGATGACTCGTTAGCTTCAGTGCGCTGTGAGTGCACTGCAGCGACAACAATCTTTTTTTCAGTGAGGGCTCCCGCACTCTCACTGGCATCATCTTCTTTGATATCGATGTTATCGAGATCGGCATCAAACGCAATGACCTCTTCGTCAGAGCGTGATGAGCGTGAACCAAATCGATTTTTGCTCGCGCGAGTCCCTCTTCCCCTTGAACCAGAGTTACACTCTAGTAAGGTGGGTACACGCGGATGGCGTAATCCATTCACGTAAAATGGTGTATGTGTCGTGGCCGCATGCACCGAGTTGTTAATGGAAAACTCTACCATTGGCAAAAACTCACTCCAACTCTTAAAAGAGTGTACGTATCCTCGAAGTGTCTCTTCGAGGACACGATTGGCACGTTCCGTTTGACCATCTGACTCTGGATGATTAGATGTCGAAATCTTCAAGCGCGTTCCGAGTGATTTGAACACGGAACGCCAGAAATCAGCAGTGAATCGTGGATCTCTGTCTGATACGAGTTCACGGGGTAACCCATGAAGTCGGAAGATGGTGTCGATAAAGACACAAGCACAGCAACTTGCCGTGATTGACTCTGGTACAGCCACAAGGTGTACCATTTTGCTGAATTTGTCAACAAATACGATAATACCCGTATTCCTGCGTGCGTCTTTGGGTAACCCGAAGACAAAATCCATTGAGATGGGTTCTCAGCACTCAGCCGGAACCGGTAGAGGCTGTAAAGGTGCACGCAGTGAAGGACTTGACTTCACTCGTTGACAGACTTCGCATGCGCGAACGTTCTAGCGCACAAACTGATACTGGCGGGGCCAGTAAAAGTCTCGACTCACCGTGAGATTTGTTTTCTCGCGGCCACGATGTCCTCCTATAGGAGCATCGTGATACTCGAACATGATCCGCAAACGCAGATCAGTATCATCTGGAATGACAACACGTGGTGTGTCACCAGTAACGGCTGTATAATACAGTAAACCGTTGCGAGTAGTGTGTCGATCTGATGCAGATCGAAACGCAGACGATAATCGTTTCAACGATTCTCGAGATGGCTGTGAGAGATGTGCCAACAGCTTCACAATCTCACCATCTTGGGCATACGCTCGCCTCACATCATTATGCAATGTTGAAGATGGGACTGAGGACGTCATAACCGCAACAGTGATTGTTTCACTGTTGGGTTTCACGACTGGTTCAAAGTCGGGACGACGTGAGAGTGCATCAGCGACGACATTGAGTCGTCCTGGTTTGTACTCTACCGTAAAGTTGTATTCTGCAAAGAATGACAACCACCGCGCCATTTGTTGTGAAAGTTGCGGGCTATTCACTGCCGTGCGTAATGAAGCATGGTCAGTGTAAACAATGAAGGGTCTATCTCCTAATAGATAGACTCTGAACTTCGCGAGTCCATGCTTCATGGCAAGGAGTTCCTTGTCATGCACTGGATAGTTCCGCTCAGCTGGTTGCAGCTGACGCGACTGATAGAAGACGACGCGTTCAACGCCTTCAAGATCGTACTGCATTAATGCACAGCCGATTGCGAAATTTGCTACCATCACAGACCACATGAAATGGCCTGTCTTGATCGGCTATTGCTAGGACTGGGGATTGTATCAAGCTCTGCTTGATACCATCAAAGGAGCGCTGACATTTAGCGTTCCATAACCACCTCTCGTTCTTTTTCAACAAACGAGAGAGGTGTACAGTCATCTCGGCGTTATTGCGTGAATACTTGTGCAAATATGCCGCTAGCCCAAGGCATTTTTGAAGACCTTTGACATCAACTGGAACAGGCCAGTCGGTGATCGACTTGATCTTTTTGGGATCAGGACGTACACCGTTCTTACCAACGATGCACCCAAGAAGTGGTATTTCGCTTGCTGCAAATATACACTTCTTGAGGTTTGCATACAATTGATGCTTTCGCATGATTGTAAGAACCTGTCAGGCGTGGCATCTGTGAACCTCAACATCCGACTTTCCATCCATAGCCCGACTATGGATGAATACGTCATCGAAATAACTCGGTGCGAATTCTCGTACTGGTCTCAACAGATGTAATACACATCTGTTGAACGTGGCCGGGGCATTGCTAAGCCCTTGTGGCATTACTAGACATTCCCAGAGCATGCCGCTAGGCGTGCTCACTGCGGTATAGGGTATATCCCGTTCTCGCATGAGGATTTGATCGAAGCCATCCATCAAATCCATGGACGAAAAGATGGTACTCTTTGACATACCATCAATGATTACGTCCTTCCTCGGTATCGGCGTCTGAGCCGGTACCGTTGCAGCATTCAACTTGTTAAATGCATGCACTATCCGCCACCCTCCTGTTGCTTTTCGCACACAGAAGGTCGGAGAGCTATGTGAGGAAGTTGATTTCCTCACACGGCCCGCAGCTAAACGATCGGCAAAGAACTTGTCGATCGCAAGTACTTGTTCACGAGGCAGTGGCCACTGCTTCATGACACAGTACTTCGAGCCTGATTTAAGCTCGACCTCGTGTCGAATACCTTTATCCTTCGGTAATTCGCACGGAACAGTTTCAGGGAATACATCCTTGAATTCAACCAAATCTTCATATAGAGGATTTGGCTTGAGCGATTCCCACGATTGGGAGTCATAGCGCTCGACTCGTGTCTTTTCATCTAGGACACTCTCGTCTATAGATGAAATACTGGGAACTCTCTCGTTCTCAGTAAACACTGTTGCTGACCTTATGTCGGCTACACACTCGTCTTCAGCGACGAGTACGCAGATCTGCTTGACTTTGCCACTACGCAGATCACGCAAGAACCTTTTATGTTCGAGCGTTGGCAACTGAGTGATCTCCGAAGTCAACTACGGAGGCGCAATCAGATCAAGTGCATAAGCGCCTACACTTGATCCATCATTGACTAGGACATTCAATGTCTCTGTCATTTCCTGGGGACTTAATCCTTCGGCTTCCCGGAGACTTATTCCCTCGGGTTTCGGGGAACTTATTTACGCCGTATCTGTAATTTCGGTGCTTATTCCCTTAACTTCCTCTAGCTGGGGTTGCGCAACCACAGCGAGATCCGCTACGAACGACTCTCCAGTCGATCTAGGATTATCGTTCCGCTTAACCTGAGCGATCGGTTGTTTCTCTTCTAGATGTTCCCCGCTAGGGATGCATCTTTGTCCCAGTCCACTCGACTTATTCGAGTGGTGGACCTTCGGCGCAGCCTGTGTTTCCTCACAGCCGCCGGAACTTTGCTCCGAAGTGTAACCGTTTGTTACACTAAGATTTTGTGTAGTCGTACTAACGACCGTACCACAAGTGAGGCCATCGCACTCACTCGTAGTACACCCACACGCTTGTGGACGCTCCAAAACGTTCATCAGATGGCCATCTGATGAACAAGCGGCAGGCATCGTTACTGTTCGATGTTGCCAGTTTACTCGTGGTTCGTATCTTCTGAGCCACGGTATTCCAAGGATGACATCAAATTTGTCATCCAAATCCAATACGATAAAGTCATCGTCATATTGGGTATCTTCTAGCGTATAGTGGATCTTCACTATACGCTTCATGACGGTTACGGATGCGCATGTCGCAAGACGTACCGTCATCCTCGTAGGAGGTGTGTCACATTCACTGAACTTAAAGTGACCATCTTCTAGCGATTGGCGTCGCACAAAATTGTTGGACGCCCCACAACCGACTAGAGCTCGAAGGGACAACTTGTTCGTCACTTCGAGTTTCAATGTAATGAGTGAGACCTCATTACCTAGAGCAGCAACGCACAACGTTTGTGTGTTGGGAGCAACCTTCATCAAGAGGCCTACAAATTCTCTTGACGTTGCTGGACCAGTAGGGTGCTCCGCACCTACTGATCCTGTCCGTTTTTTGACGGTCCATCCCGTTGTTGCGTCTTTGCACCAACAGCGGACCCGCGTCCCTGCCCCTTACTCATGGGTGGACGGTCACTACGCCCAGTGTTGCGAGACACTGGACGAGGGGCACTACACTCGTAAGCGTAGTGTCCTGTCTTTTGACATCTGTTGCATCTCTGCAACTTCTTGTAGTCTGTAGAGCGAGCCTTCTCGCTCTCTACATAACAGAGTTCCATCGGCTCTGGACCTCCGCTGTCATATCGTCTCGGTTGACGATATGATGTCGAGCTGGCGCGAGCCTGTCTCAGACTGAAGTCTTCCTGTTCCGCAATGGAAATGGCTTGTTCTAGTGAATCTAGTTCAATCCGGAACAGGTGAGTCTTGACGGGACCATCCGCAAGACCCTGCATGAACACCGAAACCAACGTGTGTTCATCCACCGGATTGGAACTTATACAACTCGTAAGATGTCGTATATGTTGCGCGCAACCGTGCACATCACGCTTACCCTGTTTGAGCTTCAAGAGTTCGGTTCGAGCTCTAAACTCAGCTCTAGGCGGTTCAAACGTTTGTCTGAGCCGCGACTTGAAGACTTCCAACGACCCAAACGCATATGGGTCGTGCAGCTTGAGCCCCAATGCCCAAGTCTTGGCACGTCCTGCCAGATTTGACTGGGCAAATGCAACTTGCATATCTCCGTCGTCGACGCGACGCGCCCTTATGGCGTCGTCTAATTCGACGAACCGTCTCAAGAGGGAGTCCTCTTCGACTCCCCTATACTTGGAGATGTCAATCTTCAAGGTTTCGGGTCGACGCGAGTGCATCGACCCGCTAGCAGCAGCCTGCTGCTGTCTCTAATAGTTCAAACTGTTGAGCACCCTGTTCTCTCAACAACTCTGATTGTTGAGAACCTTGTTGGTGAAGCAAGGCTACTTTCTCGCGTTCAGCGTCAAGTTCATTTTGAATGAACTTGGCTATAGTAGCTTGTTGGGCATCTCTATTGAGAGCCTCTAGCATGACGCTAACAGCATGGATGCCCATGGTTGAACCCATCCGTTCAACCGCATCCCATTCGACATCGCTCAAATGGGAGTAGCCGTCACGCGTAGCGTGAAAGCTCTGGTCATCTTCATCATCCAACACATTCATGTTAGATGTGAACGTGGTCCTTGGACGGACTTCGAAGTGCTACCAGGTGTAATGGGGCACCCTGAAGCTTGTACTGGTGACAGTACAAGCTACTTATTCTGATGACAGAATAAGGCGGTGCTTCGTAACTTCACGTACACTCGTACGTGCAGAGGAAGACGGTAAGAAGAAGCGAGTACTTGGTTAAAGCAAAAAGTAGAACTGTATTTAGTATAGTTAATGCCTGTTAATAAATCACTATTTATCTTCATCTAACTATGTCTAAATACAAATGTGTAAATCAACTATCTGCTCACCACTCATTGCGTGCGTCTGTCGTGGCGCGTCTTCGTTGGTTGACATAATGGCCTGTACCAACCAATTAGAAACTACTCGTAAGTGCTACAGATTATTTGTCCTTATGACGATATTCTGAGAATATAACTCTAATAGTTATATTCTATTAACAATTTCTTAAAAATTGTTATGTAACGATTCACCCCGTTACAACCTTGCGACCTGCCGCCATTACGAGGCCTTTATTCTAAAATCATGTCATTCACTTCACAATACATCGCGAATATAATCCTGTGACTCTTGGTACCAAGGTTTTGTGACTTGTCAACCAACAAAGTGCGCACCCGGGGAACAATCCCATTGACTTGTTTGAAGCTAGCACTTGTCATCACTGTTTGGGTGGCACGTTTTCCCACCAGCGATGACCCGGTCTGACATTAAGTAATGCTCAAAGGGTTTACCTAAACTGCAGCAAGATGCACCACAATTTAAATTATGTCCGAGTCCAAACAAGTGCATGCACGTGACGATTACCCTAAGCTGACACGAGAAACCTTTAACACCACCCGCAGCAAAATCGAACCCATACTTCCCAGCACAGAACACTGAAGCATGCATTGATCCGCTAGAGTGCATGTAAACTTTCCTCTTTTATCACAGATCTTCAGTTGTAACGGGGCACTGGTCACTTGAACCGCTTCAGTACTAACTCATCTACACTGACAACAGTGTAGGTAGTACCGCGCGTCTCTTCACGTATTTCTTACGTGCAGATGAAGGCTAGCTATTGAACGAAGCGTTTAATAGGAGTAGAGAGTAAAACTTCATTAGATATATTAAGTCCTGATTACATGTACCGGTGTTTAGTCCTAACTTAATTATGTTTATCTACAAAAGTGTCTGCTAAAGTCTTGCTCACTACTCATTGCACGCGTCCACCGTGGATTACACCGCTAGAGTTGGCTGAAATGATGGCACCTATCAACCAATCGGTGAGTGCTTTGAAATATTACACCTTATGGTAATATTCGCGAACATCATTAACCTTCACGATAATGTATCACTTAATAAGTATCGAAGTTAATTACATGTAACAGGCCCACCCCATTACACTGGTCCTTCATCGCATCGGTTTTACTCTATGCCACCAGATACCTCCTGGTACTTTATACCTCCTGGTCACTGACGTAGTTTACGTGTGTGTGATTCACCGTGTTTTAGACATATCCTGTTACGTTCTGGTAAAACGTTTAAATCCTATCGCCTTTTGCAATAATCCCTACAATCTTTCAAGAAATTTCATGTCATCTTAAGCTCATGGATACATGTGTTCGGTATACTTCGTCTAGTGTATGTCAAGCAGACTTTCAGTAGTTTGGTAATTTAATTAAATTCTCTGTTCGAAATGTCCCTTTACCACACGTTGCAGACATTTTGTGTTTGTAAAACCTCGTGCAAATTAAATAAACTCATGATCAAACGATCGGAACTTCGAGCTCCGTAATCAATCAACTCAAAAAAGAATAGCGCCAGCAAAGTCGCATCAACAGTCGCTTATTGATCTATTTCGTGTCCCTGTAGCATTGAATTCCTTTTCTGTCATGGGAGTGCAGAATCTGTGGACGCTCTTAGCACCTGTGGGACGGCAGATCGAGATCGAGTCTCTAGCGGGTCAAGTCCTTGCCGTGGATGCGAGCATTTGGCTCACGCAGTTTGTCAAGGCCATGCGCGACGACGAGGGCAACATGATCCGCAATGCTCATCTAATGGGGACTTTGTATCGCGTGGCAAAGCTGCTCTTTTATGGCGTGCGTCCGGTCTTTGTGTTCGATGGGCAGACGCCAGAGATCAAGAAGAGAACGACTGCTCGACGGAGGAAGCGGCAGGAACAGCAGACGGCCAATTTGCGCCACACGGCGCAACGCATTTTACTGATAAAACTCAAGCAGCAGCGACAAGAGGTCGGGAAGCGAGTAATTACAAGTGATTTTCCAGTGTGAATTTGACTCTAACGCTTGTGACCACTCTGTGGGCTGGTGTAGGAACAGAAGTCAAAGAGTAATGCGTCGACACCTGCTGTTGCATCAGGCTTTACGCTGCCAGAAGTTGGAAGTAGCGAGAGTAAGAAAAAGAAGGACGAGGAGGAGGAGGAGACCAAAAGCGAAGATGAAGAAAAGATCAAGAGGGAAGACGGAGGTCCAAATGAAGAAGATGAAGCGGCAATGAAACAGGAAGAGGCGTTAGACGAGAAGGGAGTGCAGATGGTTTGGGAAGCAGCAGCGGAGCTAGAGGAGGAAAGTAGCGACTTGACACTGGACGATGTTGAGCTGGATACGTCGCGACTGTCAAAGATCGATCTTCACGCGGTGTTTTCCTTGCCGCCCCATCTGCAGAAAGACATGATCCAAAAAATCTTGCGTGACCGGCGTCAAGAGGTGAGGGATCAGTTTATTCCACTCGCTGGAAAGCCAGAGAAATATTCACATGCGCAGATTTCAGCGTTTCTCCAGACCAGTTCTCTTAATCGACGAATTGATGTGGCGAAAAGGAAAAAAAGGCAGGAGGAGATGGAAAACCAAGGCGGCGTTGGCCAAGGGCATCGCATTGACTCGAATAGCAACCGCTTTTACATTTACCAGAAAAGTGCAGAGCGCAAAGAGGATACTAACGAAAGCGAGGACGAAGAGAAGGAGGTCGAACCAAGCGATATGACAGAGCGGCCTTCACCTAATGAGCCAATGCAACCTCACGAAGCTCAGATTGACGCTTTTAAGGTAGATCAAGAGGGTCCATCGTCTACTGTCGTTTCTGAAAGAGTCGAACGTGCCTCAGGTGCTAATGCAAAGGAAATTGCAACGGCATTGGTTGCACGGTATCAAGTACGGGTCAAGCAGGAGCCTATACTTGCGATTGAAAAACTTCGACTGAGTCGGCTTAAGAACGAAGGATTATCTGCCACTGCCAACCCTTCTGCTGTCGGCATCGTTGCTGAATCTCTGCCATCCTCGGGTGATGTGAGCATTGTACTAAAGTTTGATGACGTTGATCCCGAAAAGATAGCGCGGTTTCAAAAACAATTTCCAGCATGCAAGACCGAGCGTGTTTCTGCTGACGTCGGAACTGCTAAAATTGACTCGGATGATGATGACGACGATGTTGATTGGGAAGAGGCTGCTTCGTCAACCCTGGAGCAGTCTAAAACCGATGAATTGGATCCTGAAAGTGCTGGGCAACATATGCTAAACTTTCATTCCAAGGTACAGCCATCATCGACCGTCGAAGCTGCTAGTGTGCAGAAGAGTGAGAGTGAAGAATGTCTTAGTGATGATGCGATAGAGTGGGATGAAGTGGACGACAAGGCAATGCTTGTTAATGCTTCCGACGATAATGTAAAAGCTGTACATCGTGATGAGCAATGTCCCGGACTAAACGAGCAACACTCGTCAGACTCTCATGCTTGGAATGAACAAAATGGTGACCAAAACGTTGATGGTGTTCAGAATACTGATGATGAATTTCTGACATTAGAGGATGAAATCGAGGAGGCAAAGGGGCACGAAGATCTCAACTTGCTAAAGGATGAGGCGTTGCAGTCTGCAATGACGACCGCCTCTAATCTCACGCAATGGGCTGCTGGTGCCGTACGCCGAGCACTGCAGGCACATTCCTTGCAGTATGGTAAAACTGACGAAGCCAATAAGCATTCGGCAGCAGCACGGAATAAGGATCCTCGCCAGACTGTAAACAAAAACGATAAATGGAAGTTTACGGTAGATCATTCCCAGAATACTGCTGAAGTGGTCATAAGTGACGAAGAAGACGACACTTCGCCGAGGATCACTAATGCTAACAAAGATGTAGAAGACGGGCAAAAGCAGCTACAGGCTGCCTTGGCCGCTTCGATTGCGAGTGAGCGCACGGAGGTAGCCGCTGATACAGATCGTGCTCCCGTTCGCTATCTCCAGTACACGCAACCAAGTAATTCCCTCCAGCCCAGCGATTCGATGGACATCGCAAGCTCTGAAATGGATATCGCGGCATTGCTGAAGGAGCAGCATGAGCTGAGAAAACTGCGTAGTCGGCAATCTCGTGATACAGAAGGTATTTCGGACGATATGGTGAGTGAAGTGATGGCGCTTTTGCGTCTATTTGGGGTGCCGTTTCTCGTCAGCCCTATGGAGGCGGAGGCGCAATGCGCGGCGCTTGAACAACTTGGACTTGTGGACGGCGTGATCACAGATGATAGTGATATCTTCCCATTCGGTGGTATGCGAGTCTACAAGAATATATTTCACCATCAGAAGTTTGTTGAAGCCTTTTATGCACGTGATATCGAGCGAGAACTGGGGTTTTCGCGAGAGCAGATCATTGCGTTTGCGCTACTTCTAGGCAGTGATTACACGGATGGTGTACGGGGCATTGGTATTGTTAACGCAACTGAGATTGCTGCTGCTTACCCTGGCATAGAGGGTCTCCGTGAGTTTAAGGAATGGGTCACGAATTTTGATGTTACTGAAGAAGCTCACCGTGCTGCGTTCGGCGGGTACAAAAAGAAGAAAGTAAACACGAAGACTGATAAAGAGTCGAGTGAAGGGGGCGGCGAAAGCGACGGCGACAGAGCTCGCGAACGCTTCCAACGGTCTCATGCAGATGCACGTCGGAAGTGGGAATTGGGTGATGAGTTTCCAAACAAGCAAGTAGTCCAGGCGTACATGGCCCCTCAAGTGGACCGTTCTGATGCCCGATTTTCGTGGAGTGCTCCGGACTTGGCTGCTTTGCGCAACTATTGTGCCAATGCTTTTGGGTGGGATGAGCAAAAAAGTGATGGCGTTCTACAGCCACTTGAAGAAAAGGCGAAAGCTGCGTCGATCTCCGGTAACAGACATATCCAGACACGATTGGATCGATTCTTTACAAGCTACGACGATCGAGTACACTATGCACAGATTAAGAGCAAACGCTTGCGCTCTGCTGTAAGTCAAAGTACCAACAGCAAGAAGAAGAAGAGAAAGTGAAAGCAACGAAAAGTGAAGTGAAAAAAGTAACAAGTTGCTGTCCCGTAGCTGTTGTATTTTGGATGTTGTGTTATTAAGCTTTGGATGTTGGAATTGTAAAACCGGTTGGTCCATTAGGGTACTTCTCGCCCCCAACTACAGTCTTCAGAGTATAATTACTCCTGCCGCAGCCAAAGGAAGCACTGACACCTACAGAAAGTGTTGCTATCAGCCAATGCAATTGGCGTGCAGATCAAGGGTCCAATATTTCAGATGTTCGGGCCATCTTTCCTATTTGACTACGTAGAGCTTATCAATTGCCAATGATGTTCGTTGAGCCTGCCTAAGTATACCAAACGTGCTTGAAATTACCGCAAAACTTGATGCTTCGCCCAGTGCCAGTGTTTAGTGAGTATTCTCGTAGAGCGGCATTGAGAATTTAGTGCGAATACAGATACCCTCACCTCGCCACGTTGTAGAAATCTAGAAATTGCGATGTAGATAATCGCTAGTCAAAGGCGATATGCCTGTTAGTCTGTGCTTCGTGGAAAGCTACGAGTTGGAGGAATACAAATCCATTAATTCCTTCATGTGTGATCCAAATTCAACCTCTATCTCGGTCGTCATTATTGTTGTACGCTAGCAAGTTCCACCCATGAATAATCTAGTCGCATAATAAGGTCGGGCCAGATATCCCTTGAGCATAGTTTAGGATTCGACGAGTACGCATGTGCATTTGACAATCAAGTAAGAAATAACGAGCCTTTACAACTATCGACAGCAGCGACAACAAATGCCCATTTGATACTACGATAATGCCGCCCTTTCGTGCAAAAGTGAGGGTGCTGAATTTGTGGAAAGTCCTCATCGACAATCGTGAAGATTGTAGTTATATCGTGTGTCTCGCAGCATGTGCCAGCTAAGTACAGCTCTATTGACGTGAACCCCGCAGCACTCAGGTGTCCTCACCAGTTTGGTGGAGGGCAAACGGTTTCGTACTTGTGTAACTAAGCTTATAAGACTTCGACGCCGCCCCTCTTAAACTATCTGTCGAAGCTGCAAGAAGTCTTGATGTCGGCAAGTTTGCCGAGATTTTGCAGCTCGAAGCGGACCAAGAACTCTTCTTTCATGCATCGAAGGCTGTTTTTGGTGTTAAAGTTCTTTTACGGATCTCACAACGTTCCTTTCTGATTTAACTATGCTCCGCATAGAATCGAAGCGTTCAAGTGATACGATTATGATCGAATACTAAGTTTGTTCGAGAGCACAACCAATCAGTTCGTGGTGGCATCGAATCAAACACTGCGGAGACTTAATGGCGCAAATTGGCAAATTACATGAAGGATCTCAAATGCATGGGTTTACGAAGTATCCGGAAATAAGCAGTGGTGGCTCATTGCAGGTAGGCATGCCTGGGTGTCAAAATGTGCAAGGAGACCGAATGTTGACCATGCAAGCTACACATACAACATTTTTGAGCACGGGAAGTTGCTATCTCAGCTATCGCAGCTAGAAGAACGGGGTGGACGTGTAGAACACTATCGAATGTGATCTGCTGTAGCGTCCCCGATGTGGCTTAATAACTTGGGACCACAACTTTTGCCAAGAAAATCATGACAGCCATAGTACCGTGTTGATTGTTACATGCGCATCAAAGCTTGATCGATATCAGCGGAGAAGGATGTCAGACAGTCCAATACACCTATAAACGAGTCGGGATGGATGACGCGGTTGCCAGCGAACCCGACGTATTTCAACGAGACTCGACTGAGACTCAGTTCGAGTCTTCAAGACAACTGCGACAGATAGTATCACAATCATGCGTTTCCAACATCAGCTGGGACCCGACTCTTTGTGATACAAACCTTTACTTGCCTGCATCTGATAGGAGCACTCGTGCTTGATGCTCAAACTTGCCGTCAATACCTGATTCGTTGTGAGTATAAAAGAGCGTGTCGAAGGAGGTCGCAGTACTGTTACATGTTGAAGTGCTTAAGCAAACCCTTTTTTTTTTGGTACCTACCTGGTCGGACTTGTCTTATGTCGACGCGCCAGCTCTCTACGTTGCTGCAATGTTGCTCCAGCTGGCAAAACCCATGCGAGCAGTTAAGCCTGACGTTAAAGACCGCACCATTGCTCTATTTAACAATCACTCAGTCACACACAGCTTTGATTAACCAGCATCTTCAAAGGGCCCGTCGTGCCACAACAAAATCTGCACGACGCCGTGTCCTGACAATTGTGTGCTCGACACATCACATTCCACCAAAAGAATTTGACATTCGTTAACACCGAGCACACCGTAGTATGTCGTCCACTTCCCTCTGCACCAGCTGCTCCAGGACACCCGACGCCGTCCACGTCCGCTCCAAGCTGCGCCGTAACTCACTCGTTAGTGACCACGAAGATATTGCGCTGCTCCGGGAGAAACTCACTCGGATCGCGGTTGGACGCCTTCGTGGTGCTTTTGTGAGTCGAGCAGAGGTCATGGAGACAGAAGAAGAAGAAGAAGATGATGAGGGGGAGAATGAACAGCAAGGCCGGATAAGTGGTAAACCGGCTATGCAGCACTTTACAGTGTTTTCTTCGCTGCTGCCGGAGCGGTCGAGCACGCCCCCGTCGTCTCCGCAGCCGCGCGATGTGCTGAAGAAGCAGCTGAAGCTGAAGCAGCAGGTATCCGATAGTCGGATACAAAGCACCAACAGCTGCGTACAAGAAGACGACGAGGGATGTGAGGCTATGGTGAGTGTCGACGACCTGGAGATCATGCCGGTAAAGGACATTGTGGGGGGCCACGTAGTCACCTCTCCGTCTTGGACCGGAGACAAGCAGAGCCCTCGAGTTAGGATGTCTATACCTGGCCATTTGCGTGTTATGTCGCCGTTCAATGTGTTTAAGCAGCATCCGGAAGGACTGAGAAAGCGCAAATGCGTTGACGCTCCTCAGGATGGTCTGGAGGAACCACGGGCGAGCCTAAAGAAAACGTCGAGTCAGATTAAAATCTTGGTGACGTCAGCGGGATCATTGTCACGCAGTAGTAGTACCGGTCGAGAATTTTTGCAGACGTTCGCAGCTCGACAGAGGCTTGAGCAGGACCACGACATGGAGGACGTTGGATGTACGACACAGCCGCAGTCACCGCAGAACGCACACTTTGGAAGCAAGCACGGTCAACTTTCAGCATGCTCTTGAACGGTCACTGCGATCATCTAATATGGATGAGCGACCCGTGTTGACAGCTGGCTTGCTGGTTGATCAGCATAACAAAGTACCAGAGCTTGCAGCAAGCAGCTAAGCTTTCGCAAGCTGATGAGGGATCAATTTGTGAGTTTGAGTAGAATAAGTGTGCATACTGCTGGTCTCCCATGTCGCCATTGGATAGCTTGCAATGCAGCAATGCCACAGCGAGGTGTAAATGCTACTGAAGCGTACTAGATGAAACAACGCCAGTGACCACTTGTAAGTCTGCTCTTGTTACAAGTACCGGACACCAGTATGGCCATTAACGATTGCTATCAGAGGCTACAAAGCAGTCCTAATTTGCACATGTATGTATCATCCATTTCGCAAAAGAATTACTATGGTTGAATTCAACACAAGCTGGTGAGCTCCAACCTGCATTCCCTGTTTTGCCAAGAATTACCAGCATGCAACCTCTAGTCTTTACCTCACCGCATCAAAGCTGTAGCTTGACGGCCAACAGGTCTGAGGCGCTTCAGCTGAAATTGCCGAATTGATTAAATGCCTGTTGCTGTCGCTGCTGCTGTTGCATCGAACCTATCCCGTCGAAACCGCCTTGGTTCGCCATCCCACCTACGCCAGGCTGCATACCCATGCCTGGCTGCTGCATTCCCATGCCTGGCTGCTGCATTCCCATGCCTGGCTGCTGCATTCCCATGCCTGGCTGCTGCATACCCATGCCTGGCTGCTGCATTCCCATGCCTGGCTGCTGCATGCCCGTGCCTGGCTGCTGCATGCCCACGCTTGGCCGCTGCATACCCATGCCTTGTTGCTGCATGCCCATCATACCCCCCATCATCGGTCGGTGCTGAGTGCTACCCATGACCATACTACCTTGACCCATTTGGCCAAATACAGCTTGCTGCTGCATCCCGCTGTAGCCCATACCCATACCACCTGCGTAGCTCATTCCCCCCGTGCCCATGTTCATACCACCAGCACCTCCCATCGTGGGTTTGCTGGGCATTCCGGCAAGGGTGTCCAAACCACTGAAACTATTGCAACTAGCGTTTAATTGCTGATGCTGGTAATGCGGGTGCTGGTCAGGATGATTCACGCTGCTACTATTATTGCCGCCAGAGCTTCCCAAGTTTTTCAGATCGTACAGCGATGAGCCAGCTCCCCACGCGTCGTCGCTTTTCTTCTCCTCAGGTTTCGGCGCTATGTCCGTTCGTGACTGACTTCCGCTGGTATTATATCCTGACTGACTCAAAGTTGCGCATTGCACGTCCATGCCAATTTGCCCGGGTTGCGGCATGACGCTACTCATTCCACCCAATTGCCCGAACTGCTGCTGCTGTTGTTGCACGTTAAAGGCAGGAGCAGGTGAAGATGCAGCGTCCGCTTGCTGACCGAGCGCGTTCAGACCCAGCTGGGTTGGGGCTGCAGGGAATGCAGCAAACTGTGGGGTTCCTTCCTGAGTAAAGCCGCTACTCCCAAATGCATTGAATGCAGGTTGCTGCTTAGGCTGCGGGGCGCCAAATGCATCAAATGACTGCTGTGGCGTAGGTGTGGCGTTGCCGAAAGTAGCAAACGACGCTGTTTGGGGCTGTGCAGGCTGTGCAGCAACAGCACCAGCACCAGCAGTTGTCGGTGCAAACGGGTCGAACGTATTAGCTACAAACAACACATAAGTGAGCAAATAGTTTGGTCGTTTCAATTCTGGTAAAGAAGAAGAAAGAGCGTACCAGCAGCTACCACAGGAGCAGGACTAAAGAAGTCTGCGTCCAGGAGGGATGTTTCGGCAGGGGGTGATTTTACTGCAGCTTTGCTCTTCATCTCCTACCAATATGCGATTCACGAAGTTGCAGTTAATAACCACGTCACGATTCACTGCATTCACGTGATGTAATACCTCTTTCTTCTTTGCAGGGGCCTTCCCTTTTGATGATGACGCTCGTCGTTTTGGCCGCACCTCCTCTTCCGATTCTGATTCTTCACTTTCGTCATCTATGGAAGACGGCGTCAGTGCAAAGTACATCGGGAAATGCACCTTGACAACATAAGAGCGACAGCAACGCACCACGGTCATCATCAACGTTGCGGGTGGAGTAGCTCTTCTCCTTGTCATTGGTCGTCTTCGAGTCACTAACACCGTAGTCTCTGCTACCGCCACCACCACCACTACTATAACCACCACCACTGCTGTACCCGCCGCCACTATAGCTGTTGCCACTGCTGTTATTGTAGCCATTTCCGCCACTATAACCCCCACCACTTCTTTCTTCACTGTAGTTGCTGCTGCCAACGTAACTCCCTCCCCCCATACCGCCGCCAAGACCACTCCCAATGCCCACATACTTGTTGCGCAAACGCCCTGCCTTCTCACGTTCTGTGCGAATCAAGTCATTGTCATTGAGCATATCGACAAGTTGCTTGGCCTTGTCTCGAACTACACCAACAACAACAAAAAACAAAGACGCACTTCGTAATCACCAGAATACGAGCTCCTCTGCTATTGTATCGACATCCTCTGTCTCACCTCCATTGCCCCTGTCGACAGAACCGTCATGGTACGAGAAGCCCGAGAGATGGCGCAACTTAAACATGTGGTCGCGAGCGTTCTCAATCACGCGTTCTGTGCCGTTTTTAATCAGATGCTCCAGTAGACTCAGCGCCTTGTACACGGAGCGCCACTGTCGTCCTTCAGCGTCCATGGCTTCCCAGATCTTGCGTGTGATGACTCCGTACGCCTCACTAGACAACCGCAGCGCATGCAGTTAGGGCTAAGTAGACGTCCCCAAAAGAGGATACAAGCAAAGCGGCTACAAGGCGCTTTCCACCCCTTACTAGTCATATGTGAGCTGCGACAGCTCATTCAGCAACGTGCTCGACGCGCCCCAGTTCTTATTGGACAGCGCCTCTTCGATCTTGCGCTCCACGTCCGTACCCATTTTAGCCTTGACAACGCTTTTCCTGGATCATATTTATGCACACCAGGGGGGACCCAAATCACCAGAAAGAGGAGCACACGCTGGACGTGAGGATATCTCGCATAAACTATCGGTCGAGAGAAAGAGAGATCGACGTACGCCTCGTCCATGACGTTCTTCAGTTTGTCGAGCGCGAAGCGGTCCATGGTTCCCCTCTTTGTCTTGCTATTTGTAACTCCTGGCTCGGGTCAGACCGACTGATGTGCGGCGGTGGGCGCTCTAGCGGAGAAGTTCTGACGACGAAATGATTCTAAGCAAGCGAAGGGACGCTGCAGCACTTGACGTTTGTATGCTGAATCGCTCGGTTTCGCTCAAGTTGTGGTCCACATGCTGGGGAACACGCGGACGACGACCTCGATCCCATTAAAAAGTCGCCAATAGTTAATTTGCTTAATAGTTTGCGGAAAAGTAGTGTAGGGCGAGTAAAACTTACTCATGACGTAGTAAAACAAATGCAAATCGTTCTGCTTTTAGTGCAAAGATTACGTGCTAATAATCCACGGATCCAGTGCCTGTGTGCGGCTGTTCAGTCATCGTGTGATCTCATCGTGGTCTACAGATCGCTTCAGTCACATACCAGCAAACGTGACTGCACACGGCTGTCAAGTCATGACGCAAAACTTTGAACTGCGTCAAAACAAGACTTTTAGCGTGGCTAGACGGCCCAAGTCGCTAGCAAGGCGTCCCGACCAAGTGTCGACCGGTGTGCATGCGTAATCGCTCCCAGGCGCAGTAGCCTGTTCACCTGTTAGTAGCTTTGCCACCACGACCGTCGATTTGCTGTGTAAAATTAGCTGAACTGATGCAAGCGGTAGAATGGTGGACACCGATAATTGAGTGATCTGCTGTTGACCAAGCTGTCCGGAAGCCGAGGATCGATCGATAGTGTTGGTGTAGCTAGGGCAGCAAGATAAGTCTGTGCAGATGACAAGAACTTATTTTCCCCGTAAGACTACCATGTCGCTGATTAAACATTGGTATAATGACTCGGAGGTGTGCGTTCCAGCATTCATGCGCTCGTTTCAAGCAGCGAACACACAACGAAGAGTCAAGACTTTGCGACATGACGGGTATTGCTGACTTACTTCTAAGAGCAAGTTTAGTTGCATTCGACACATTCCAAAGCAGAGCGATATGGACATCGCTGATAAAGTTTGAGTATCAGAAATGGTCGAAATAGTGATGGGTACCTGGTGGTACAAAAGTTACGGGGCGCTGGAGATCATTTTCCAAGACTGAGTGTAGAGTCGCTCTGCATATTGCCATCAGGGAGCAGGCAAACTGATAGATCCAAGAGAAAAAAACGTTGTGGGCAAAATGTCGCATCTGATGCATGTGAGATTTATTCCCAAGAGTCAGCGCGGACGGCGTTCTGAAACTGTTGAACCCGGAACAAGTAAGTTGCCAAACAACTGCGCGATGAACGACCTCGCAATCGTGGCTTACTTACCTGCAGAAATCAATTGATTTTTCAACCAGGAACAAAAGCGTCGCGGGCACTCTGAGACTTGAGCTGTGCGCTGACGTGAATCTCAACGAATCGTTTGACCTCCAGCACCTGCTTGATTATTCAAACATTGATCTCTGTGCTCGCGACCAATCCATTTTTACATTCAAGCCTCGTAATAGCAGCGATCGCAAACGCGAACTGGCACATTGATACCAAACTCCGGGATCGACTTGAACTTCTCCGAACAGCCTTCACAAACAAGAGCACCACAGCGCCGGCAATTATGCTGGTCACGATTTTGCTGCGCCTCACTGGAAGAGGTCGAATTCCAAGTAAATGGCGAATCACAGCACATGCAGCGGGTCTTTGTGCTGAATGGTATCCACTCGGGTAGTGATGGCTTAGCGCGTCGCGCGTCACGAACGATACGTAACGCACTTAAATAGTTACGACCCAGGTGGTCGCTCAGCATATTCTGCTGCACTGGAATGTGCGACAGCTCTCCACACTTACGGCCAACGTGTACAGCTTCAAAGATTCCTTTGTAGAAATAAACGTGCGTCACTTTGCCAGGGATGTATAGCTCCTTTGGGTCCTCCACCAAAGCCGTCGCTAGATCTGCAATCACTTTTTCTTCCTCTTGGCGATCTTTTGCAGATGGTTCGATTGCTTCTTCGTCAGAGTCCTTTCCTCCGACCTTGTCGAGCTGGTCAATCAGATTCGTTCGCGTAAGCGTCCATGACGAGACACTTCCCTCCATGCTAGCTGTCCTTTCTGCTTTATCATCCAAGACAACTTTTTCGCACAAACGACTGTTCTTCGCACCCTCTCCCACCTCTTCTTGGTTGGCAAGTCTCCCCTTCTTTTGATCAGCCACGTCCTTCGCCCATTCACGATTTCTTGGTGCCCAAAATGTCTTTGCCCGCTCCTTGAATGCTTCCAAATCTTCATGTGCCGTATCGCGCCAACATCCTTTGAAGTTCTTCAGCTCATCAACGAGCTTCAAAACGTTGGAGGCCTTTGCACGAGGCACGATATCATCTCGAAGCACGATTGAATGGACAAAGTTGTCACATGACTCGGCGACGGTCAAATTCACGCAAGCAGGAACAGCGTATGCAAAACATTCAAGATCTTCGAACTCTTTTTGCAGTATAATCGATAGCAGTGCCGCGCAGCCAGCTCCCAGGGAATGACCGGTAAAAACAATGCGGTAGCCCTCGTGGTGTAACACACGCAGCGATTTGACGATACGGTCTTTTATCCACATAACAGCTTTGAGCATGCCGTTGTGTGCGAAAGCATCCACGAAACCACCGCTTGCTTCGCTTTGAGGCGCACCTGCTGAAGAAAGACCGATCTCCTCGGGAAAAGCCTGAATATCGGTCAGTGCATCTTGGACGGATTTCGAACCTCGAATGACCAGAAGTGCCGTCTTATTCTCCTTGTTGCCCAGCAACGCAAAGGAAGGGTGCCGCACGTCTTGGTCTTGCACATGCACATAAATCAATGAGAATCCTTGTAGCCTGCTGATACGCTGTATATCTAGGACATTATGCTCGTAAATGCCGTGCAATGCGAGAGGAGCGTACTTGAGCATCCTCTGCAGCAGTGTATCCGAGATTGGCTGACATCCGTTATGGTTCACCTTTTCTCCTTCAGGTTCTGCACCGCGGTCACCGCGATTCATTGCCATAAAGTAATAGGTCCCGATTGCGGCGTCTTGAAACCCGAGATTATCCAGGTCGCCGAGCAGCCCCTTTAACGTCGAAAAGGACTGCATGAACTCATTGCGCAAGATGAAACCAAGCAAGCCAGCCCTTCCGTATTTGCGCAAAAAGTCTGCACTTACAACAGCCATTTTAGCTGCTGCACCAATGGGAGCAGACTTGGCAGCGACGAGAGTGCCTTCAGCTGCGCGCATGATTTTGTCAACAGCTGTGTCGGTAGTTGTGTTATAGTACAAGATGAGCTTGCCACCAAGGAAATCGTTGACGCGCTCTACTCGCCATTGGACCAGTTGCTGATCCACCTTTTCCATGAGAATATAGTGGCAGTTCTTACATAACTTCGACGGATATGTTTGTCCATACGCGCGAATGATAGCAACCTCAGGTAGATCATCCCGACAGAATGATTCAGAGCAGTATCCACATTGGTAACGGAACTTGGTCATACCGAACTCGATATTGCATTCCTTGCAAGACCTTTGACTCGGTAAGTTCTGGAGGTGAGACAAAGTTTACGATGCCATCCTTGCAGCATGTTACAAGCGAGCGGTGAAAAGGTGACAGATCTGGAAAACGCTTCGACAACATGGACAAGACCTCCACATTGCTTTCTTCGTTCAGCACATCGGTGTCGTCGCTTCGCTTTTGTTTCGCCTGTGGAAGGATTACAGGCTCTGACGAAATCGCAGCTGCAGTAGCTGCCTGCGCCATCTCTAACCCGCACAGTGACGCCTCCTTTATCGACTGCACTGTTCCATAGACTGCTTGCTTCGACGATGAACCCGCCAAGTTTATCGCTGACGACGGCAACGATAAAGCAGCAGACGAAATCCTGCCGAAAAAGTTCCATGAGCTGGATATTTCACTGGACTCGTTCGTCTTGTTCTCTTCCATCGATGCGTCTAATACGATATCTTCCCCGGTCTTGTCATCTTCACGTTGCTCGATTACCGACGCTTCTTCTGTCTTCGTAGCACCTTCGTTCTTATCCTTTTCATGTAGTTCATCGTTGGACGAAACAAGCGTATGGCACTTTGATTTGCTCGCGCTTTTTCGTAGAGGTTCTTCATCTTCTTCAGACACCGGTATCTCCGCTGCATCTGCAGTTTCCTCCTGCACCTCGAGCTTATTTCCCATCCAAACGCGAGTACGGACAACGCTAGAGCGCGTCATAGGGCCAAGTGTGCCCTGGAAGTTTTCTCCATACAGCCAACCTTCTTCGTCATAGTCTTGGCCCTTGTAGACCTGCCACACGAACTCCTTCTGCTCGTCTTTACTGGGACACGCATCCTTCTGCGCATTGCACCAGGCAGGAGGATCTTCTGTATGCAGTCGCGCTGTCCAGCCCTACAACAAGACATACTAAAATTAGCACCTTGTTCCATTAACGCAATTTAGAAAAGACCTTGATCATGTCGTTCGAGCAGTTGCGGCATTCGAGAAACGACCAATCACGAGCAAGCCTGCACGCACCACAAACGGGTACCAGCGCTGATTCTCCACCACCTCTGCCATGAGGAGTCACGATGCAGGAAATCTGTTCGTTGCGCCTTGAATGGCTTGGGCTCTTCGCACTTTACGCTAGTGAGTTCGAGTGTCTTTCTGCTTGATGGGTGCTGCCTTCTCTGCGACTTGCGACTGTGTGATGGTTTTTTCCTCTTTTTGTGGCGAATCAACTACAGCTTAGTAGTGGCTTGATCATGTCGCATCTTTTTGGGTTTGCTAAAACAATTGTGCAGCTTTAGTGTGTTCTTTTTAGTGCAGTCTGGGTCCCTTCCGCCGATCGTATTCGAGCGAAAGACAACTTAGTACCTTTTACGTTGTATCATTTTGCCAGAAGTAAAATGGTCTACAAAAGCGCCATGTATTTTCCCTTTTCTCTGACTTTGTTGTGATCCGCTCGCTTGAATGTCACACCGGTTGAACCATCGACTAACTCCTTGTTTATACACATTATTCACAGACTCGCCGATGAATATGTATCGATAACTTATTCATCTTCCAAAGCACTGCTTCAAAATCACAAACCCTGTCAGAACTGACCCACTCCACCACCTTAGCACCTTCGGATAGAGAACAGGAATTTTAACAACATAATGCTTTGGCACTTATCGAGAGCCTCTGTCAAGAACTAAAAGAGCGGAGTCTGTTCCCACATCGGATATCTCAGCTTTATAGCTTCCTCCTCAATATTCCGTCGTGTCGGGTCTCAGATACAAGTTCCAACAACACCTAACTCATCACAGTCCGTCATTGCACTTCGTATATAGCAATCAATGAACTGTACTATGTCGAGCAATTCTGTGGTTGCACTTCATATTACAACCACTCGTCTTTGTGCTAGTAGTATCGACGTATAGTTACGCAGCGGCTAATGAGAAGTATCGACGAATTATCGATGTCGCAGTTTCCTATCGATGTTTCGCTAGGATTCAGATACGAGATTCACATTGTTTTTCATTTACATCGCCAGCAGCCCACTTCGATATTAACACCCTTTCGACTGAATGATGTGATTACTTCACAGCTTATGCTGTCGGACTTTTACACTTTCGAGCCACTACAGCAGTTACCTTGCTAACAAGATGGACGGGTCTCCTTGTTGTCGAGCGCACTACAATTTGGCAAGTGTCTATAACGTCGACTAGCGTTAAACAGATCATTTCATGACGACAAATGGGGACCAACCGAGCGCAGAATGTCAGCGCAATAGACTTATGGACCGATTTAGTCTCAATGACGATCGAGAATCGCAATGTATGAGAAAATAGTAGTCGAGACGATCTTTTGACCTAGCATCCAAAAAGTAGTAGTAGCGTTACTCCCCTGCAGCGAAAGGTCGTAAAAACTACTGCTTCAACGATAGATTCGATCGTCGTGCCGGCTACTTATGTTAAGTAGCTAACTAGAAATAGCGCTGAACATCGTACGCCAAAAGTAGCCGCCCATTCATTCCTGTTTGCGCGTATAATTCGATTATCGAGACGGCTTGTAATATCGAGGACAAAGCCGAAACAGCCGATCCACGAGCTAAACCTAAAGAAAAACCATCAATGAAAACATCTCTCCGGAGCTCGGCGCGCCTGCACAGGTGTTTCCTCACCCACGTAGCCAGAATGAACGCCCGTCACATTTCAAGTTGTAAGCCCACGCCATGCGCTGCGATTTGCGTTATCGCCAATGAGGTGCTTACGGGGAAGGTACTGATAACCAATCCGACATGTAGTCATCAGCATTGCTCCTGGTAGACAGATCTTGCATGATCTCGCTTGAAACGATCGTCTTTTTACTTTGTTGCAGACTCTGGACACCAACTCGCACTGGATTTCCAAGTTCATGTTTCGTCGGGGTATCGACCTCAAGCGCGTTGTGGTCGTTCCGGATGACGAGGAAGCCATTGTTTTGACGGTAAGGGGGCTTTCACAAATGGTTGGTCCCAATGGCTACGTCATTACCACAGGAGGCATTGGGCCCACGCACGATGATATCACTTACGAGAGTGTGGTAGGTCGTTTGTGTTTTGAGCCTTTTGGTGAAAGAAGGTGGTAGTAATCCGATACGTTTTGGTAGGCGAAGGCGTTTGGTCTTGGTGTCGAGTATCATGAACCGACACTGAGAGAAATGGAGGCTGCTATGGTAAAGAGCGCATCAGAACTAACGGAAGGGCGGAAGCGGATGGCTCTGCTGCCTGCTGGCTGCAAGACGCTTCGTACGAATTTCTGGACACCCATTGCAGTTGTGGAGAATGTGTACATTCTTCCTGGAATACCGTCAATGGTTCGATCGATGCTTACTGCGAACGAAGAGCACTTTACCGGTGTTTTTATCTTCCGTGCGATCGTAAGTATTCGCCCATGCTGATGCGACCACCGACACATTATTTCACTGACCTTCCTGACGATCGCACGCAGGTCAAAACGCTCCAGATGGAAGGCGACATAGCAGCTCAGCTAAGCGCAGTCCAAGATGTGCACCCGGATGTTGCGATTGGGAGCTACGTCAACTTGACAAAGGACGAGACAGGCGTGCGCGACACAAGTTTTAGCACTCGCATCACTGTTGAGGGACGTGACGAAACTGAAATCAAGGAAGTCAGCGACGAGATCGCAAGGCTCTTTGATGGCAAGTGCGAGTTTCCTGCTGACGAATCGTAAACTGCCCCACGCTATTCTTGCAGTCAGTAAATAGCGGACCCAAGAAAACCTGTTTGTTTTATCGAGCCATGGCCATCGTGGTGAACGTGATCGGCTTGGCGTTGGACACGATACTAAGCGTAACAACGCAAAACAAAGATGCATCCTTTTGAGCCAGATTACCGGACCGATTAACAAAGAGTCAAACATACTAACGGGGCCGGCAATCTACAATCCGTATCAAGCACACTTGGTAAGCTATTAAATTGCACATTCAACTCGACGAGTCCACTCCCCTGCCCAAGCGCTTGCTAGTCATCGCACTTTCGCGACGCCTGACAGCAATGCGGACATTAAAATAACTAGACCATTACGCTGAGCTGAGCATCGAGTTGAGGACGTGGTGCAACAGAACATATTGCGAGTCGCGGTACTGCGCTGGTACACCGTTCAGTCCTGCCTGTAGCTCATGCAACACGCCGACCGCAAAGCTGGCGATACTTTGATCGCGCACATCCATTACCAGAAGCGACTCCCGCAGCCAGTTAATTTTCGTTTCCAGGTCATCCCCCAAATCCGCTCCCAGTTGCTGCACCAAGCACAGGATCAACATCTGCGGCAGCTTAGGCGGACGGCAGCTTAGAACGATTCGCGGATCACACTGCTGGCAAGTGAATGCTACAAGGTTAACGTTCTGTGCACCAAGTACAAGCTTAAACGCCTCCTCCCAATCATTCCGTGCAAGACAATCAAGCACAACCCCCTGCTGTGCCTCTAGTTGAAGATCTTCAGGAGACTTTGCAACCGGTACAGACGCTCCATTTATGCCTCCAGCATGAACGGCTGAGCTTAGAAGCTCCACTTGCTTCGTCAAGTTTTCCACCAACTTCGTCAGCTGCTCCAGTTGGCCTGTCAGGTTCGTGTCGCTGCTACTTCCCCCGTTGCTCCCAAACGCACTGCGCGCACCCTGAACAAATGTGTTGTTTATTTGCTCGAACATTTTTTGCGTTGCAGCCTGGAAAGACGGAATCAAAATGTCCTGAAAGCACTCACGGAAGGACTCACGCACAGGCTGGCGGACGTCTTCAACTACACGCTGCACCATGTCATCAACACCATTCGTGAAATGGTCCGGCAGTGATGTTGCGAGCGCGTCATCTAGCTTCTGCTGCATTAACGGAATCAGTTTCTCGCCAATGACATGCTGGAACCCGTTTTGCACGGGTTTCATGAAACTGTTTTCCATGGTATGCAACACAATGCGGCCCATTGCCGGCACAAGAACCAACTGAAGCTGCTTCTGGATCGACTTTTCCACTTGAGTTGAGACTTGTGACGTCAGGTGGTTGCCCAAACTTCCAATCGTCACACGCATCTGTTCACGGAGCTCCTCATCACGCTGAAGCTGAGCAGCTTCCATTCTGCGTAACGAAGCAAGAAGCGTGTGTTGCTGATTTTCGCTCGCTGTATCATCAATAGATGGGTCATACTGCACAGATGATTCATCGTGAAACGCACGAACCGAAGACGACGGGGAAGAGCGATTATAAAATCGCAAATTCGAGAGTCTTCCCTCGTCTCCTGACATCGACGGTGCTGATACTGATGCAGTTTCATCACAGGTTGCTAAATGTAGCGAATGAGCACCAGTGCTTCGTGTACTTCGGGTGCTTCGAGCAGGTGACAAGGGAGTCGGTAGAAGGCAATCTATAGACGTTCGGTGTAGAGCAGGCTGGTCAGAATTGTCACCTCGCTCCTCCTCGGCACCTTCAGGATCATGAACATCAATCCCAGTTTCAGGAGCTAAGACTGCTGCAGATGCAGCGCGAGGGGATTCGGCCGCTGTCTGGTACGAAGTTTCGATACTCTCTCCCTCAGTCGTCACAGCACCAACGGATTGACCAATGTCCTCATTAGCCTCAATCATATCCCCTAGCGGAGTGTGAGCACAAGGGACAAAGCATTCACGTGCCGACACGTGATACCGCTGAATAGCATGAGTTTGCAGGCAGTACAGCTGCATGGAAAAGTTCTGTCCACCCAGCATGGAGGACGTATCGCTGCCATCGCGAGGTGGTTGGTTCTGAGCAGTACGGTTCAGCAAACCCATGCTGAGCACAGGATACGCCAAAGTAAACTCCGTCACGTTGTCAAAACGGCGTGGTGTGCGCGCGTCAGAACTGGGAGCGAGATGGAAGGCATATATCAACGGCTTTGACCGGTCGGCCACGAACAAAAACTGTGTCGTGGGGTCAAAGATCGTCTCATGCAGAAGTGACAAATTTTCTCGTGTACTGCCACAAAGCGTCACTGTCTGGTAACACACGGGAGTGGTGTCCTCCACTAGCGCCGCATTCCATAGCGACAAACGCGTGTTAGACTCACCACCTATCAGCAATCCAGGCTGGTTGAGAAAGTTGCCCCCATAGAAGTGTAAACTATTGACAGCTCCTCCATGGAACGGTTCAAAGCAGTGAATAAAGTCAGCAAGCTGCCCAGGAAGTTGGTCATTCACACGGTACACTTGCACAGCGCCATCATTACCAGCCGTGATAACACACTTGCCGCTACCTGGCGAAAAAGCCATGTCGTTAATCGGACCAGAAGGTTGGCTACATATGACACTAATGTCGTGCAGATTCCCGGCACCAGTGCCATGAGCGTCAACTGTCGACAAGTCAGCAATAAACACTTCGCTTCCGTTAGCAATAGCAATCTTGTTAGAGTCGGATGGGTGCCACTTAACACGTTGTGCCTGCGTTGGCACCAGCTTAATCAGCTCGCGGCTTACAGGGTCGTTCTGGATCGCCCAAATAGCCACATGGTGGTCTGTACCCGAGCTTAAGAGCAGATCCGACTCGCTGTTGAAAAACGCCAGCTCCGTCACTGTGTGGTGCTCGTGTTTCCGCAGCAACAATCGATTTGCCGAACTTTGACTTATAACGCGAATCAATCCGTTCCGGATTGGATACGAGATAAAGTGCTCGTTGACGGAAATGAGGTTACCCAGCTGCTGCGATGTCCGTTCCGAATGGTACAATGTTATAGGCATGACTTCCAGTGATTTGCTATCACCAAGGGCAGATTCTCCACGCGAGTGATATTCTACAGTCTCTCCACAAAGTCTCGTTCCAGGAGGTATCGCCAGAGCATCGGCGATTCCAAATCCAGCGACAGTGCCTGCACGTCTAGGAGAGCCTGTCAGCGAGCTGGTCGCTGACCCTCCTGCTCCATTACTACGACTGCCATCCATCGAGACAGTTGCCGCACTACGTGGCGCGGCAGGATACGCCCCTCTACTAGTAGCAGAGAGACAAGGTACTGGCTGGAACGGAGAGGGTGGCGGCATCGGCGCCGATCGAGGTGGCAGGAAAGCCCCGTGACTGGGCGAAAGCTGCCGAAGTAGAGGTAAAAGGGAGCTTGGTGCACTTGTAGGAGGCATGGGCGCTGGTACGTGGCGCATGTGGTGATTGATCATGGGCATGGCGTTCGAAGAGGAGGATAGAAACTGCTGCAGGAACTGGTTCGAGCTGGACGTGGCGATCGACGGTGGGGGCGGAGGGCGAGGGGGCTGCAGCTGCTGCTGTTGCTGAAGTAACTCGTGCAGGGGATTGCTCTGTGTCGCTTCAGCAGAGACGTGGTCGAGTGGCGCAAAGCGTGCTAAAAAACCGTGCTAAAATCAGTACTTTACTCAATAACAAGATGGACCGAGTTTCGCGGCGTACCTGCGCTAGGGATCGGTGGTACAGGGACAGTACCTGGAGGCGGAACTGCGCCGGTGCTGGTGGTGCTACTAGTGTGGCTGTGGCTGTGGCTGCCACTGTCGCTACAGACGCTCATGCTGGTCGGGGAGACAACCGTCCGTGTCGAGGCTTTTGAGGTAGGATGCGTTTTGTAAGTGGATGCAAAAAGGGGGACGAACGCTAGGATGGGCGGGTGCTGGGTTTTGTATGATCTGACAGCGGGTCTTCCCTCCTTTTTGGAAACTGTGGTAGTTTTGTCATTACTACAGTTTTAGAGCACCGTTTACTTCAGAGCCGCATGCATATCAGCAGCTAAGCCACATTCCGAATAAAAAATGATGTGGACGCCGCGTCCTTGACTTGAAATTCAAGCTGAACCTTGTGGTTACAAGCTTTGTCCTTTTTCGCTGGTGTGTTTATAAGTGCCTACCAACCAGTACGACGACCAGGTGCACTTTGTGTGCCTTGGGCGGCCGGCAAAGCTGACCTCATGATCCATGCATCTTGACAACGTGCCAACACATGCCGCTGCGCCATGACGGCGGCAAGATGTACATTATCACTACAATAGTATTCGTGATCCCTCCCCTGCTGTGGTAACGCTTTAAAAGTACAGTCAGTCGTCTCATATTCGACACCAAGTCTTAGAAACTGTTAGGTTATCTCGTGCTTCTGCGCATCGCAAAGATACTCCGTTACGCAATAACATGATAAGGGCATCCAGTGACAACTAGGTCCAGCAGCCTTTGGGATGAAAGATTAAGCTGCAAATATGAGAACAGATTAGCTGCAATTGGTCGACAATGGAGCAAATTTATATTTGCCATCGAAACGAATAAAACCGCAGAACATCGTCCATCTCTATGGTTATAGTCTGGTCAACATCGATTGTACGAGACCTAATTTTCTCGGCAAATGTAAGTGTGGATTTCTACTTTTCATCGGCTATTTTGCTATTTCCACCACAGTACAAGAGAGGAAGCCTAAGAACGCGTTTTAAATAACGCAGTCTTAGAGAGCGCAATTTGGTTTTGTCACCGCACTACCCGCCACGCAAAAAATGATAAACGCGTTACATACAACAGCACTATTCGAACATTACAAAAAACAACTTCGTTAATGCCTGTATTTCGGTCAATATGCCTGTTAGTACTACCTTACAAATCCCGTGACGTCGACGACAGCGCCTGACGACACAGATACAAGATATTGCAACGGTCCAGGTTGCTAGTCTCACCGTTGGTAGCATACTTAGTTTTGCTAACCATATTTTTACAAAGCCAAGAAGTCGTCTAAATCGTTCGAGACAACCCGGTCACCGATATAACATGAGCCTCACGAAATAATGCAGCCTATAAAAAGGGCCGGAGTAGTCTACAGACGTAGCAAATCATGTAATAATGCAGCCAATAAAAAGGGCCAGCGTAGCCTACAGGCGTAGCAAATCAGACAGAGCGCATGTTCTCGGACAAGATTTTTGGCCTTATCACCAACTCGGCACTTCCGTGACGATAAAATTTCTGTAACGGGGTAAATCTGTTACACGTAATTTGCCATTAAAGTTGCTGATCAGAATAGTATCATAAAGGTTGACACTGCTCGCGAATATTACCGTAAGGGGTAATTTCCAGAAACACTTACCGACTGGTTGATATTGGTCATCATATCAGCCAGATCTAGCGGCCCAATCAATGATGGACGCGTGCAATGAGTGGTGAACAAGACTTTGGTATACGTTTTGTAGACAAATATTATTAAGTTAGAACTTAACTCAAACACATGTATTGAGGACTTGTTATATCTAGTACGACTTACTTTCTACTCGTCACGTACAGTGTACGTGACGTAACGCGCGGAACTAACTACACTGTTGTCAGTCTTGGTGCACTAATACTGAAGCATGGCTGCTAGTGACCAGTGCCCCGTTATAATCCGCTACTTATCTGTACTCACACCTACCGCATTATAATTCTCCGCATACCTCATGTAGTGGCGCTACACAGCTCTGTATCAGCGATAATTTAACGAGTCTTTAACTCTTTTGGTTAATCGACAATCTACGCCTGGTCGACTCGCAAAAGACTCCTGAGTAAAGTCTTTTGTGATTCAGAGCGTCACGAAACCAGGTACCGAATCTTCAGACCTCGCACATGTAGATCAGATTTAAAAGGCTGTCACACTTCAGTGAAGATGAACACAGCAGCTTGCATGTCTTCTCATTGAAGTTCTGGTCAGATGGAGTATCGTCCATCAATTCCCGTCTCTTTGTTCATTTGCAGGCGTACTTCGTGAGCGAAAGCCAGGGTGCTCCTTTCGGATGACCCAACCCAATAATCGTGGATAATCGTCCAAAAGAAATGGAACCAACAATAGGCGCTTTCGAGCTGCCCAGTCCCGTCCTGACCCAGTCGGGTACAGTAGCAGCGTGTGACCGGCATGCCTCCGCCCGGGATTGATCCGGGGACCTTCTGTTTACAAGACAGATGCTCTACCACTGAGCCACGCAGGCTCGACTTGGTCGACGACCACCACATTTTTCGACGGCAAAAAGCACCGATACTGGCGGTCAAGACCACTCCTATGCAAACGCATCAACACGACAGACATATCCCGCACGTCCTCTCCACGTGCATGCCGCCGAATGGACAATCTACTCCTGGCCGACTCGCAAAAGACTCCTGAGTAAAGTCTTTTGTGATTCAGACTGAAACGAAACCAGGTACCGAATCTTCGGACCTCGCACATGTAGATCAGATTGTAAAGGCTGTCACACTTCAGTGAAGATGAACAGCAGCTTTCCTGTCTTCTCATTGAAGTTCTGGTCAGATGGAGCATCATCCATCAATTCCCGTCTCTTTGTTCATTTGCAGGCGTACTTTGTGAGCGAGAGCCAGGGTGCTCCTTTCTGGATGACCCAACCCAATAATCGTGGATAATCGTCCAAAAGAAATGAAACCAACAATAGGCGCTTTCGAGCTGCCCAGTCCCGTCCTGACCCAGTCGGGTACAGTAGCAGCGTGTGACCGGCATGCCTCCGCCCGGGATTGATCCGGGGACCTTCTGTTTACAAGACAGATGCTCTACCACTGAGCCACGCAGGCTCGACTTGGTCGACGACCACCACATTTTTCGACGGCAAAAAGCACCGATACTGGCGGTCAAGACCACTCCTATGCAAACGCATCAACACGACAGACATATCCCGCACGTCCTCTCCACGTGCATGCCGCCGAATGGACAATCTACGCCTGGCCGACTCGCAAAAGACTCCTGAGTAAAGTCTTTTGTGATTCAGAGCGTCACGAAACCAGGTACCGAATCTTCAGACCTCGCACATGTAGATCAGATTGTAAAGGCTGTCACACTTCAGTGAAGATGAACACAGCAGCTTGCATGTCTTCTCATTGAAGTTCTGGTCAGATGGAGCATCATCCATCAATTCCCGTCTCTTTGTTCATTTGCAGGCGTACTTTGTGAGCGAGAGCCAGGGTGCTCCTTTCTGGATGACCCAACCCAATAATCGTGGATAATCGTCCAAAAGAAATGAAACCAACAATAGGCGCTTTCGAGCTGCCCAGTCCCGTCCTGACCCAGTCGGGTACAGTAGCAGCGTGTGACCGGCATGCCTCCGCCCGGGATTGATCCGGGGACCTTCTGTTTACAAGACAGATGCTCTACCACTGAGCCACGCAGGCTCGACTTGGTCGACGACCACCACATTTTTCGACGGCAAAAAGCACCGATACTGGCGGTCAAGACCACTCCTATGCAAACGCATCAACACGACAGACATATCCCGCACGTCCTCTCCACGTGCATGCCGCCGAATGGACAATCTACTCCTGGCCGACTCGCAAAAGACTCCTGAGTAAAGTCTTTTGTGATTCAGACTGAAACGAAACCAGGTACCGAATCTTCGGACCTCGCACATGTAGATCAGATTGTAAAGGCTGTCACACTTCAGTGAAGATGAACAGCAGCTTTCCTGTCTTCTCATTGAAGTTCTGGTCAGATGGAGCATCATCCATCAATTCCCGTCTCTTTGTTCATTTGCAGGCGTACTTTGTGAGCGAGAGCCAGGGTGCTCCTTTCTGGATGACCCAACCCAATAATCGTGGATAATCGTCCAAAAGAAATGAAACCAACAATAGGCGCTTTCGAGCTGCCCAGTCCCGTCCTGACCCAGTCGGGTACAGTAGCAGCGTGTGACCGGCATGCCTCCGCCCGTGATTGATCCGGGGACCTTCTGTTTACAAGACAGATGCTCTACCACTGAGCCACGCAGGCTCGACTTGGTCGACGACCACCACATTTTTCGACGGCAAAAAGCACCGATACTGGCGGTCAAGACCACTCCTATGCAAACGCATCAACACGACAGACATATCCCGCACGTCCTCTCCACGTGCATGCCGCCGAATGGACAATCTACTCCTGGCCGACTCGCAAAAGACTCCTGAGTAAAGTCTTTTGTGATTCAGACTGAAACGAAACCAGGTACCGAATCTTCGGACCTCGCACATGTAGATCAGATTGTAAAGGCTGTCACACTTCAGTGAAGATGAACAGCAGCTTTCCTGTCTTCTCATTGAAGTTCTGGTCAGATGGAGCATCATCCATCAATTCCCGTCTCTTTGTTCATTTGCAGGCGTACTTTGTGAGCGAGAGCCAGGGTGCTCCTTTCTGGATGACCCAACCCAATAATCGTGGATAATCGTCCAAAAGAAATGAAACCAACAATAGGCGCTTTCGAGCTGCCCAGTCCCGTCCTGACCCAGTCGGGTACAGTAGCAGCGTGTGACCGGCATGCCTCCGCCCGTGATTGATCCGGGGACCTTCTGTTTACAAGACAGATGCTCTACCACTGAGCCACGCAGGCTCGACTTGGTCGACGACCACCACATTTTTCGACGGCAAAAAGCACCGATACTGGCGGTCAAGACCACTCCTATGCAAACGCATCAACACGACAGACATATCCCGCACGTCCTCTCCACGTGCATGCCGCCGAATGGACAATCTACTCCTGGCCGACTCGCAAAAGACTCCTGAGTAAAGTCTTTTGTGATTCAGAGCTGAAACGAAACCAGGTACCGA